TTTTATTTTACAATTGCATTTTTTTATTGTAGCGTTTCATAAAATGGTTGTCACCGTTTAGTAGAACCATTGCAATTTTTAGTTTATTTCATGAACCATTGCAATCTTTCGCTATCTAGCATTCATGTATATACTTTACTATCAATATCATTATCTTTTATTTATTTCTTAAAGATTTATCAATTTTTGTTATTTGTTAATTTTTTTATGAGGAATGTCTCTTAAAATGTTGCTTTTATCATAATGTTTTTTTGTTGCATATATTTATATTATTTTATTTATAATTCTTTAAGAAATTGAAAAATTATGTATACTCACTATAATTCTTCGTTTAATATTTTACTTATGATCGCATTTCTCACCACAAAGTTTTTCTAATAGTAATATACTTAATAAATGCTTGTGAGCGTTCTCTTTATCATAATTTTTGTGAAATATATATTGATTTACTATTAAAAAAATTAACGATATTGCGGGGGTCCTAAAAACCACAACTTAATAGTACATTTAGACACACAAAAAAATTAAAACCATTACACAATCTCTTAAGTATAATTTTTTAAAAATTAATATTTAAACAAATCATAAGAGCCAATACTAAGAGACCATTGTTGAGGATAGTCTAATGTGGTTTGGATGTGATGTGACTATCTTATAATGTGGAATGACAAAACTATTTGAGTGCGACTTGAGTACGAATAACCGACCGAACCGAACCAAAAAAACCGAACCGTATATGGACCAAAGTTTTTAAAATAACTGAATGGTTAGTAAAAATCTCCTATCCAAACTAACCGAAACCGATGTGAATCGATAACCAAACTATTAACCGAAATATCAAAAAACCTAAAAGATACCCAAATATAATACTCAAAACTATAATTATAAACATACTTTCTCAACTATTTCTTCTTCTCATTCTTCTCCACAAACTTCACTATGTTTGTGACTGGTTCAGATAAAACAGCCTTATTCTTCTGACTCCCCAACAAAGCTTTCTCAACTGATGGTTCAGAAACAAATTGTCCTGCAAAAAAAAAAAATCATTAATAAGCAAAAAGACAAGACATCAAATCAAAAGTAAGAAGAAGATGTAAAAAAAACTTGATGTAGAACCAGACACAAAATTATTGATCATCTTTGCCCAAATAACGTTCCTTAAGCAACTTACACACAAAAAAAAGTAAAAGATGAAAATTATAAGAGAATGATGAAGAGTAAAACCTTTTTCGAGAGAAATCAGCAGATCATCACTCAGATGTATCAATCTGAAAACATCAATTTTTTCCCTCAGTATGTCTAAGCAAATGTGACCTTTTTACTTGATTTCCTTCATGACGCTCAAGTCATATATAGAGACTTCAAGGCCTCCAATATTTTACTTGATTCGGTAGGATTGAATAACTAAATATACATCTCTTTAGATGTAAGAAAACTTGTCTCTCAAGTTAAGATCATGGAGAGCCTTGCAAATGTTATATCAAGATTCAAATGTATATTTGTTATTGTATAACAGGTTTGTACCGACCGGACCGGTCCGGGCTCAAATTGCGGGCTTCGGGCCGGGGCGGACTAGCCCGATTGACATGCCTAACTACGATACATATTTTTGATTTTTTGTATATTATGTATTTTTTGTTTATATAAATCAGATTTTGTGGACATTTTGATTTGTGTTCTTCTTTATTAGTAAGTTTATCCAATTTTTTCTTTTGAACTAAGATCACAGAAATTTACTATATATATGAACTCAAACATGTCTTTAGGGTTTGAGAAAAGAGTGGAAGACTGGTATATGTATTTATAATGGAGTGAAGGGAGGTAATAAGATGTGAGGAGAGTGTGGGAACTCTGAACCTGGACGTATAGAATCGAATCGAAATGAGTTAAAAGGAATTTTAACTCCTTTTTTTTTTTCTTCTTTTTCGCAAGATATGTACTTCTCGAATATTACGTGATTAAACGTTTTTATGTTATATTTTGTAGAACATTTTTGCATATTAACAAAAAGGGAATTAAAGAATTATGTTGAGTAGTAACATACTATATTTTGGAAATATGATTTAGTATTTGTCAAAGATATTTTGGATATATGAAAGCAGACCAAATCAGAGAAGAGTATTGAGTGGTGCACACGTTTGTTTCTGTTTGACCATCTCATTTGCTTTTCTTTTGTCTTCTATGTTCCTTTTGTTCTCCCCTGTTTCCTTTTACATTGCTATGTCTCTATCCTCTGTTTCTTCTTCCCATCTTCTCTCTGCTTTACTTTTAATCTTTTGTCTTGTATACAGATTCTCATCTTTGCTTCATCGGACATGATACTTTTGATTTCAGTTCTTGCATCCAAGTTTTTTTTTCTTTTTCTGATTGTCTCTAATGGGCAATTGCTTTAATTCTTCCGCAAAAGTAGATAGCAGAGAAAGTCCTCGTCGTGGTATGCAACAAAACACCTCTCTTCTCTTAGATTCTCTAGTTGTTGTCATATCTTACTTTTGATTATAAAGTCTTAAATTGAGTTGAGACATCTTTGATTAGATAAAGTGTTGATTCATCAGGTTTATCAAGAATCTCTGCCAAAAGAAGTCAATCGTCTCGGTTTTCAAGCTTAACCATACAATCACCATCTTACAACGATGACAGAAGTTTGGCGTCTCTTCAAACGCCGAGAAGTGAAGGAGAGCTCTTAGCATCTCCCACGCTAAAGGCGTTTACATTTAACGAGCTAAAGACAGCCACTAGGAATTTCAGACCCGATAGTGTTATTGGTGAAGGCGGTTTTGGTTATGTCTACAAAGGATGGATCGATGAACGCACTTTATCCCCTTCAAAACCGGGGTCAGGCATGGTCGTTGCTGTCAAAAAGCTTAATGAAGACGGGTTTCAAGGACACAGGCAGTGGTTGGTACGCTTATTTAATTATCCTCTCGATATGAATCAACTTTAGACCTTAAGCAATAGAAACCAAAATGGAAACCTAAAGAGGGAATTGTTGATTTTACAGGCTGAGGTTGATTGTCTTGGGAGGCTTCACCATATTAATCTTGTGAAGCTAATTGGATATTGCTCAAAGGGTGATTTTATTCGGCTTTTGGTGTATGAATACATGCCAAAGGGAAGCTTGGAGAATCATCTCTTTAGACGTAAGAAACTTGCCTCTCAAGTAAAGATCAATGAGATCCTTTGCAAATGTTATATCAAGATTCAAATGTACATTTGCTATTGTGTAACAGATTTAGAAAATTTAGTTGGCTTTATATTCACATTTTTTTAATTTCATTTTAAAAATTTGAAATCAAGACATATTATATGTGTAGGTGGGGCAGAGCCGATTCCGTGGAGAACAAGGATGAAAGTGGCGATTAGTGCGGCGAGAGGGCTTGCTTTCCTTCATGACGCTCAAGTCATATATAGAGACTTCAAGGCCTCCAATATTCTACTTGATTCGGTAAGATTGAATTACTAAATATACATGTTTTTGTTCGTCAAATTTCAATCTTAAAAATGTTAGAGATTCATTACAAACCAAACAAAAGTATTTGTTGAATTTTTGATTGAAAAAATAAAACTAATCGGATCATAAACATATAATGGTTTTGGTTTTGACTCGAGCATTTCCGTTTGATTTATATGTCCATCTTTACGTAGGAATTCAATGCAAAGCTTTCAGATTTTGGATTGGCGAAAGTAGGACCAACCGGAGACAGAACACACGTATCAACCCAAGTGATGGGAACTCAAGGCTATGCAGCACCTGAATACGTTGCCACTGGTCGGATAACGGCCAAAAGCGACGTCTACAGCTTCGGTGTGGTCTTGCTCGAGTTACTGTCGGGACGTCCGTCCATAGACAAATCGAAAGTAGGAGTGGAACGAAATCTGGTTGATTGGTCAAGACCTTACTTAGGAGACAAAAGGAAAGTGTTTAGGATAATGGACACAAAGCTTGGGGGACAGTATCCTCACAAAGGAGCTTGTTTGGCTGCTAATACTGCGTTGCAATGTCTTAATCAAGAACCTAAGTTGAGGCCAAAGATGTATGATGTGTTATCTACTCTTGAAGAGTTGGAGATAACGTTGAAGTCGGGTTCTACTTCAAACTCGGTCATGACATTGACATCGTCTTCCTCTTCTTTGACGGCGAAACAGAGAGTTAGAGCTCCAGTTGCTGATGCGGTGTTGTCTACTAGAAGATGTCGACGTGTTCGGTGAAGTAGCAACATAACTAGTTAGGCTTTATGAGTGTATGCATTTGTTTTGTTTTGTTTTGGAAAAGGTGCTATTGTGTGCGTTTTTGACTTCCATATACTACAATACACATTTTTGTATATTATTCTTTTTATTTTATTCAAATCAGATTTTGTGGACATTTTCATTTGTGTTCTTCTTTATTCCTCTTTAGTTTTGATGATGAACAAGTTTGTTCTATACTTCTATATGAAGGAGGAATGTTTGAAGAATTGTATGGGTCCACATATCTAATTTTGACAAAACATTATTTGTGAATGGTGAATATTTTGAAGAGTAAAGAAGTATTTCTCTTATTTTTCTAAACCAAAATGGTTACCACTTAAAATGTTAGGGATATTTGGATGACAAAGAATTAGAAGTCATTTTCTTATAATGTGTCATAAATCCGCTCAAAACTCCGCCCCAGTTAGGGACGGAATTATCATTGTCACAAGTTTTAGCTGTTTGATTCTTGCAATGATAATTCTCAACTAATTTTGTTGTGATGCACATTCATCCCAAATAATTTTTGCGACGAAATTACTAATATTTGCGACAGAAAATCCCATCCTAGAAATACAAATTCTTGTAATAGCCATGGCTATGTGTGTGTTTTCAAATGACTAAATTCAAATATTGCGCAAATGACTAAAGTAATTATAACGAATTTGGAAAATAAATAGAATAAAAACGTTAATAACAACAAAAAAATGCTAGTAAGTAGTAACAATAGAGAATTACCCGACGATGTTTGAATAGCTTGAAATTACCAAATATCATCTTGAGTTCCTCCAAACACTTCAGTAAAAAATATTACCGAATGGAAACCTTATTTCAATGAAGTGTTCGAAGGAACTCTTGAGAATATTTGATCGAGGTGATAATTCATTGTAAGTATCCAATTTTTCTTTTGAACTAAGATCACAGAAATTTACTATATATATGAACTCAAACATGTCTTTAGGGTTTGAGAAAAGAGTGGAAGAGTGGCATATGTATTTATAATGGAGGGAAGGGGGTAATAAGATGTGAGGAGAGTCTGGGAACTCTCTGAACCTGGACGTAAATTGGGGCTTAGGGAGTTGAAGAAATATAGAATCGTATCGAAATGAGTTAAGGAATTTTAACTCTCTCTTTTTTCTTCTTTTTCGCAAGATATGTACTTCTCGAATATTACGTGATTATACGTTTATTGCTATAACTTGCATCTTTGTACATGCTCGTTTACGTTGCTCTAATATTACTTTCTATTTGCTAATATGTTGGTTCAATTTGAAAGATATAACTTGGAAATTATATTATCAAATGCAGCCACGTTATCGTTCATTCATTTTTTTTTTTTTTTTATACGTTATCGTTCATATATAACCGTGTTTTACAAAACATTACCAATGCAACTAGATTGTGATGGTTTATTTTAATGGTTACGTTGAAAAGCTTTTACGAATATATTGTATATGTATCAACTTATGGTTTTATAGATTTTTATCTAGTTCAAAAGAATATACTACATTTCAAAATATTATTTTTGTTTCATAAAGATGTGATTTTACATTTTCAATTTAACTTTTACCTTTTGTATTCACTTTACCCTAGTAATTTTAAATATATTACGTAATTAGAACAAAAGCTGTAGAGTAACTCCCAATATACATACTGTATGTTTAAGATTATGAACTTAAAAAGATGCTTAACTTTTTAAAATATAATACTTTTTTCGTAGGTTGAAATAACATGGGCCAACAACAACAACAACAAGTAGAACGAAGCCCAATATACAAACCCAACAATTGGAATAACAGAAACAAAGACACACACACGTGAGCTCAATCTCTCAGAAGCGTGTGAGAGAGGAAGAGACAATGAAGAACGTTTATGCCAGTTCACTGCAGAAAGAGAAGATCGTTCGTACAAAACAAAACTCGATTTTTATCCTCTAGAATCCCAATGTGATGACTGAGCAGGACAGGTGTCCACTGATAATCCTTCCCACTTTGTGTACAAAAGAGAGAGTATCGTGAGGAGGATGGATTGTGTTGAGAAATTTGAGTAAAGGAGTAAACTTTATCTAAAACTTCTCTAGTTCTCGCTCGAAAAGTTGCTGAGATGAGGAATTACAGAGACCCCATGACTGATGAAGACGAAGATTATGGAAGCAAGCCACTTAAGTTAACTAAGAAGCAGAGGACTACATACCACAAGGTCTGTGATTTTTCTCTGTAAAGTTTCCTCCTTTATCCATCAATCGTTAGTTAAAATGTGACCTGGTTCGATAATTTGTAATTTTTTCCCGGATTTGTAGAAAAATGCTGAAACTTCCAAGTCCAAAATGTGCCACCAGTGTCAACAGAACGACAGAGGACGTGCCGTGGAATGTAAGAATTGCAGTAACAAGCGTTATTGCATCGCATGCTTTCGAATTGGGTATGCTCTTCTTTTTGGAATGGTTTTAGTTCTTAAAAACTTGGTCTTGTTTTGGGAGAAGAAAGGCAAAGGCTTTAGCTTTTAGGCAGAAATTCCTGTTGATTCTAGACTGCTAGTGATCTTAGCTTTAGAGACTCGCTTACTTAATTTTGTGCTGGATAAGTTTTACAGAAGTCTGAGAGATGTTTGTTTGACTGCTATTTATAGTTACCCGCGTATAGCAGAAGAAACTATTGCCAAGAAATGTCCATTCTGCTGTAATACTTGCAATTGCAGCCGATGCTTGGGCATGAATACTACATTAGATGTAAGTTTTCTCGTATCTACCATATCTCTCTCTCTCTTTGTAGTTTATTTAATGTTAGAGCATAATCATTATTCCAAATAATATGTCCGACCTCAAGGTCAGCAGGGATGAAAAAAATCAGTATTGTTCGGATGCTTTTCCCACACGTGAAGGGGATAAATGATGAACAAACTGCTGAGATGGAAATTGAGGAGGCAAAGATTTTAGGTACTTTCTCTGGTTTTTGTTGTGCTTGAAAGGGTGCAGTTTCTCTTGCTGGTTATTGATGGTTTGATTGGTTTTTGTATCAATCTCTTGCTATTATGTGTAACTAAGTATTTTCCATTTTACAAGCAAAAGGATGTCTTATTGTTGTTTTAATTTCACAGGGATGGAGTTTGAAGAGGTGAAGCCCCAAGCCACTAATTGTTTACCTGATGAAAGACTACACTGGTATATTACCTTGACAAGAATATGACTTGTGTTTTTAGATCATTATGTTGTTAGTAACTTGTGTCTTTCTTGTTTTGATTCCTTTGACTTACAGCAACATTTGCAAGACCCCAATCTTTGATATTCATAGGAGTTTCTCTAGCTGTTCATCTGATATTAGTCTTACTTGTTGCCTCGAGATCCGTAATGGAAAGCTTCAGGCATGTCAAGAGGATGTATCTTGGAATTATTATATTAACAGAGGTTTAGAGTATGCACATGGAGAAAAAGGAAAGGTTATTGAAATGACAAATGATAAGCCGAGTAATGAAGACCGTGTGAAGCTCCCATCTATGTGGAAAGCAAAGGAAACTGGAAGCATTAGTTGTTATTGTGGTGCTGATGATTTGGAGTTAAGAAAATGCTGCTGAATCTAACAAGCTTTTGGATTTACCTGAAACGGTTATGGAGCGATGCCCTTGTTTTAACTCTCATGGTCATATTGATAAAGCCAACTATAAAAGGTTAAAGGCTGCTTGTCGAGAAGGTTCAGAAGACAATTATCTAGATTGTCCAAGTGTAAGAGATGTTCAACAAGATGATTTGAAGCATTTTCAGCATCACTGGGTAAAAGGTGAGCCTTTGGTTGTGAGGAATGCGCTCGAAGTTACACCTGGTTTAAGCTGGGAACCAACCGTAATGTGGCGTGTCTACCGTCAGATAAACTTCACCGAGCATGGAATACGTCCTGAAGTTGATGTTGTTGATTGTCTAGACATCTCTGCGGTCAGTATATTCCTCAGTAATTGTATCGCATATAGATAGGGTCCATCTCCTTTCTTATATAAGTTTGTCAATGCCTAAACACTTTCATAGCTTTAATTATAGTCTGCTTTTTAACACCTATCAAGTACTTTATTTTGATGATTTCGATACTTGAATAGCTAATGTTGATCTAAATTGTATCGACGTCAATATTACACATCTAACCTAGTAAATTTTTTTTTTATTGATTCGGATCATTTCGTTTTCTGGAATATACATGTAGAATTAGTGGTTGGTTGGAAAGAAACTGCTGAAAAGCTCACAAGAATACAAAATGGCACATTTTTTGCTTTTCAGATTTTTAACTTCTTACTATACTCTTGTTTATCTAATGACATGTATTGGGTCCAGGGAACAATTCATCCTCGCGAATTCTTTACTGGTGATACAGAAGGCCGTTATGATTGCAAGGATTGGCCACAAGTTCTGAAACTGAAAGATCAGCTTCTTTCTAAGTCTTTCAAAGATAACTCGCCACGCCATTGGGAGGAGTTTTTATGCAGTTTGCCTTTGAAGCAGTATACTCACCCAGATTATGGACCTTTGAATCTCGCTGTGAAATTTCCCGAAAGTTGCTTGGGGCCGGACATGGGGCGGCCAAATATGTACATTGCTTATGGATTTGCTGAAGAATTTGGTCGTGGAGATTCTGTCACTAAGCTCCACTGCGACTTCTCTGATGTGGTTAGTACCCACATGATTTGTCTTTTCTCGTGTTGGTTTTCTTTTCTTTGTTATAGTTTTGTCAATTCTTCTGAATGTTCTTTCTTGGCATACCATAATGATTCCAGATCCTGTCAAAACAACATGATTAGAAAGCAGTTCATTAGATTTTTCTTTATTACATTTAGGATTAGTTTGATCTTACTTCATTTCTGGACCAGTTCATTGAGATATCATGATCATGTCTTTCTGTTTTCTGCTGATCATTGAACCATGGAACTTTACTCAGAAGCTTTGAAAGTAATTAACTTTGTTTTACCTTTTTCTGCTTAGGACTCAGTGGATTTGAGCAATTGAGGTCATTGTAGCTCTCTTGTTTCTTGCAGTCTTGCATAAAGATAGGGCATGGCTTTGTCTCACCTGAAAATGTGAGCGAGTGTTTACGCTTATCAAATGAATATCGTCTACTTCCACCAAACCATGATTATAAAAATGACAAGTTTGAGGTATTTTGTTGTTGTTGTTGTTGTACTCTCTATTTCTGTTTTGTTTTGTGCAAAACTCAATTCATCTCTAAACTTTATTTATTTATTTTTGCTTTGGTTTTAACAGATAAAGAAGATGATAGTGTTTGCAATGGACCATGCTCTCAAATACTTAAATCAAAGTTAAAAGGAGTGTGTTTGTACTTCCTCTCATTTGGTGTATCACCACGTCAAAAAATGATCTATTTTGGTTTACAAATTTGTACTTTCTGCAACTAACGTTAATTTTAAGTTTATGAAATGCTACTAGTTAACTTATGCCTAGTCGAACAAAGTTTATTTCTGCCTCATACAAATCAAAATTAAGTGCAATCGAACCATTAAATATTTTTTAGAAAATAGAGAGTGGGAAAAAGAAAGTATTCTTTCAAAACGTAACTTTTAAAACTCTAGCTTGAGACATTGTTGGAAATGATACCTAATTTAAGAACGCCAATGATCTTACATTTTATCCCTACAAATTAATTACGATACTGACTGAATGATCATAAGCTGAAAGATTTGCATCCATACTAGTTCATGCGTAACTGCGATATGGCGAAACTATATGACTATAAGTAAGCTGACACCAAACAGCAAACTTAAGAAAGAAAGATCGAAAAAATTGTGGCCAAACTTCTACACAAGAAAAAAAGAGAGTCAAATTCGTAGAAAATGTGTTCTCAAATGCATCGACCTATATATGTTTAAGCCATTCAAACCAAAATTAAAAACTTAAACATCTAAAAAAGATATATAAGATGGAAGTGTACACCATACATGCGAAAATCCGTTGAATGGGTCCGGGAGTTCCCCCAAACACTTCAGTGGGTAATCATCATCGAAAGAAAAATAGTATCCCCAATGAAGTGCTCAGAGGAACTCTAGGAGACATCCAACCAAGAATCTTGTTTCTTGTTTATATATACACATTAGCATTGCATGTACATATGAGTACAAGTGGTTGATGCATGGTTTGAGAAGATGGAAGTAGTTACGTTTCTATATTTATAGTTAAAGGCTTAAAGGATAATCTTCATATGTAATGTCTATTAGAGAGAGATAGAGAGAGAGAAAGAGAGATCATGCATAGATGATGACCAAGGAAAGCATTTTGAATATAGACGCAAATTTGGGTTAAAGGAAAGAGTATAAAAAGAATACGAATTTTGAAGAAAGTCCATATGGCTTTTCACATGATAGAAAGGATGCAAACACGTAGAGATTCTGTTTTATAATTTATATGCTTTTAGTACCTCATAACGGTTCTTTCTCACAACATTCTCCTGCTCTTCAATCTTTTAATATTTTTAATTTCTTGTATTATAACTATGGAGAAAGCTTATTGATGTCGATATCTTTTCATTACAAAAAAATCCATGAGTTTTGATAACTATGAAGAAAAAGCTTATTGATGTTGATATATTTTCTAGTATCTAACATTTTGTCTCTCTGATTAAAGAAATGATAGATAAACCAAACTCCCATATATGTGGCGCATTGTATGATAACTTGATATTTATATAATACATATTGCATGGAAAAGTTGAAAGTCAGTAACCTGAAATATATTGCATGACGGAGAAGCATATATAATTATATGCACACCACTTGTGAGAAGATGAAATAATATACATATATTGTTTTATATGCAAAAAAAATCCCAGGTTTAAAATTTGACCAATCTCTAAATATGTGAAAGAGCCTGAAATTCTGATAATTCAACAGTACGTATGTCAACCATGGTTTAAGTTGCAGTAAACATATATTTGAAGGCATACATACAAGTGGTTACTAGTTAAATTTTAATGAAAACAACACTTTTTTTAATAGTATTTAACAAAATTGAAAACAACGCAAATAATTTTTTTTAAAGTACAATTTTTTATCAGTTTGAAAATATGAAATTTCTTATCAAAGAACAAAAAATCTTATAACAAAATTCAATTCATATGCATTTCGCATTTGCATCTTTTTTTATATTTTATGCTTAATATAAATTTTTGTAGCTACTAGATATTTTCTTAAAACATAAACACAGTATTTCAAATACGTATAAGCATGCAAACACAACATGCAATCAAGTCTATATATACGATACTATACCACTTTTTTTAATCTATACACTTCAAAGTAAAATTTTAATAATCCCACATTCTAGATTGCCTACTTTTGCATGGTAGATTAAATGGTCTGATCATCTTTCACCGGAGATTACGTTGGGACTCGGGAATGTGAATATATGATGAGTGGCAATTAAAAAAAGAGGAAGAAAAGACATATCAGAGGATCGAGTCCATGTAAAGAATTTTCTGTCGTTTCAAAGTATTTCAAGCAAACTTAGGGACACAAGATAAATATTCGGTCAAATATCTAAGAACGAGACCCAAAATTTCGACTCGATTCAACTTTCAAATTTCCACACGTTCTTTGATTGTATGATTCGAATATATGATTGCTGGTCCCATTATGAAAATTCTCATAGGAAAAAGGAAGATATGGAGACCCTTAGCACTGATATATAAATAGGTATGAAGTTGTTGTTGTTTATATCAGGACAGAGCTACAAGAAGAGAGTCAAATGTCCCCATGAGTTCCCTTTAACGCTTCATTGTTAATATTCAAATTACATCTATTTCGTCCTTAAATGTTTGATCGATTTGTATATAACACTGAAGTGTTTGGGGGGACTCTTGGTGTCATTCTGGCGTAGTGAAGATTATTGCAGCGGATTTATGCATGGTTTCTTTTAAATTAGTAAGCTCTTCGTATTATAATTCTCTTTCGGATTGTGTGGTTTTACCATATTGTGTTGTTTTAATGTTTTATCTTTTTACCATTCAATTGCTCTACGTTGCATTGTCAAACAAGTAACACTCGCATATATTTTGAAGTATATGTTTATATACATGTTATTTATCTCCAAAGGTTTGTGTTGATCTCCAACTATAGCATCTTAACATGAATTAATTAAATTATTTATTCTGGATTTAATTGTAAAGTTTTGGAATCGAAATTTTACTAGAAGACAGACGATGCAATTGGCCAATTATATTAACTAGAAGATATGTAACAAAATTGTCACCATACACATTTGTTTAGACTCCGGAGGATCTGGACAGATTTTTTTTTTTAGTAAATTAAAACATCTAAGGATCTTCATAGGACCTGTGTCATAATAGCACATGAGAAACGTATTTAAGATCTATAGTCATTTTTTTTTTATCAAGAACATGTAATATGTGAGATGAATTCAAGTGGTGATACAATGACGACACTAATATAAGAGCATTTCCATCAAGGGTTTCTCAAATGAGTATATACTATTATTCAGCTGAAGATGTTTTTTCTGGTAAATTGTTGTAACTTTTATTTTTTTGCATGTACACACGTGGAAATATGAAAACAAGAGGTTGACATATATAAGGTTAAAAATGTCGATTTAGTTTCTCTATATAGTTAAAAGGCATATAGGATAATCCCCATATCCTTTGAGACAGAGATAGAGAGAGGTAGAGAGAGATCAAAGATAATTGGTCACCAAGGAGATCACTTTGGAGTTTGAATATAGCCGGAAATTGGGGTTAAAGGAAAGAGTAAAAGAGAATACGAATTCTGAAGAAAAGTACTAACGGCTTTTCACAAGATAGAAAGGAGATTCTTTTTATAGTGCCCATACCGGTTCTTGATTGTCCTCACTAAATTCTATTATAATATAGAGAAAAGCTTAGTGATGTTGATATCAATTCTCTACAAAAAATCCAAGAATTTGCTAACATGCATATTGATTGAAGAAAATTTTGTTTATTTATTAAAGATCGATTGTTCTTTACAAACTAACTAGCTAACAAACAAAGAAAACTAACTAAGCCACATATGTGGCGCATCGTATGATATGTACCAAATATATTGCACTGAATAGATAAAAAGTCAAACAGATGATGTCGGAATCGATAAACTGAATTATATATATGCATGACGTAGGAACATAAATCCCATATTATTGTAAAGGTTAACAGATTTATTTCTTAAAACTTTTTTCTAAAGGTTCCCTGATAATGACTAGCGTGATATAGGATTTGTTAATATAACTTTTTTGCTTTCAATTATGATCAAAGGAAAACACAAAATTTGATTACTATTTTTTAATAAAAAAAACTAAAATTTAATATGTGCTTAATTAATAGTTAAAAAAAAAAAGAAAATTAAATCTGTTTTCCGTACTATTTTTAATCTCATGTTTAAAATGGATTTTTTTTTTGTCAAAAGACAAATATATATATATATATATATATATATGAAAAAATTATATAATATATATTTTGCATTTGCATCTACAATTTTCAATGATATTAAGGAAATATCAGATTTTGCATACTTTCATGCATAAAGTATATAATATTTTCACATACATTTAAAAAAAAATCAAACCCAATATGATATAATGCCACTTTTATGATCAATAAATGTGAAATCATCTATATAATTAGAGAGTTTTTTCTCTTTGTAGGTTGGGAACCTAAGCCAAACAAAAACAGTTTACATTAAGATCTAATGAAAACACTCAATTACAAATTTTTTTATGTTTATTATTACTTATAATTCGTAGAAATTTAAGTTAATAAAAAGCAAAAACGATATAAGTACGTAAAATTTTGAAAATTAAATTAGTGAATATAATCTTCCTCCAAACTTTTTTTTGTTTTTCTTTGTATGATTTACATTCATCGATCAAGACAATGATATCCTCCAAAATTTATTACTACTTGCTAAAATAGAGTACTACACACAAAAAAAGTCTTTATTATTTTTTTTTTTTTTTTTTTTTTCTTTATTATTTTATTTTTCCAACTATACGTTTCTTTTAAGTTTTAACAATTCCACACTCGATAATAGTTTAACCGCATTGCATGGAAGATTATATAGAATAGCCTGATCATCTTTCAATGGAGTTATGTAATTATGTATAACATAGCTTATATATGTAATTCACTGTTGTGATTGTGAACATTATTCAATGGGGAATATTTGGTAAGAGCATTGATGTGGTGAGTGGCAATATAAAATTGAGGAGAAAAGACATATCAGAGGAAGGAGTCCATGCAGAGAATACTTCTGTCGTTTCAAAACATTTCAAGCAAACTTAGGGACACAAGATAAATATTCGGTCAAATATCTAAGAAGTAAGAACGAGGCCCAAAATTTCGACTCGATTCAACTTTCAAATTCCCACACGTTCTTTGATTGTATGATTCGAATATATGATCATTGGTCCCATTATGAAAATTCTCATTGAAAAAGGAAGAATTGGAGACCCTTAGCACTGATATATAAATAGGTTTGAAGTTATTATTGTTTATATCAGGACAGAGCTACAAGAAGAGAGTCAAATGTCCCCATGAGTTCCCTTTAACGCTTCATTGTTAAATACTCAAAGCCACATTGGTTTGTATATGACACTGAAGTGTTTGGGGGGACTCTTGGTGCCATTTTGGCGTTGAAGTGGCCACTATTGATTGCATTGTACCGGTTTTATATTATTCTTTAAATCTTTATTAAGTTCTTTTTAGTTAATTCCAAATGTTTTCATGAATTTTGTCTTTCTTATGGTGTCTGTGTGGTTTAACTCAACATTTTGATGATAGATAGATCATAGATGTAATGTAGGAGAGGACAAAATAAACTTATCCGAAAATATCAAACCAAACCGTTAGGTGATTCGGGTTGATTAATTTCAGTAACCCATTAAAATTTTCGGTTACCATTACTAAAATTATTTTGGTTTTGGTTTGGTTAGAAATAGTAAAACTGGTTTAAGTATGGTTATCTACCGGTCTGATTGACCTAATTTGGTAATGGATTTTAAAACATTCGTTACAAGTAAAATCTCGCTAAAACCCAACACCTACCTATGTATATATACTCTTCTCATTCTCTGCGCGGCACTGTCTCTCATCTCTCTCGACTCTCGCAGAATCATCTCAAGCAAGCGACTTTCTTCAAACCCATCTAGATTTCGCATCTCTCTTTGTTGATTTCGTTTCCAAGTTTGGATTTTTTTTTCCCTTTTCCAAAAGGTTTGTGCAGCGTCTTAGCCGAAAATCAAGCAAATTGTGTACTCTGGATCTAAATTGTCAAGTTTTGGAATTGAAATTTTACATTTTTCGATATTGGTGTTTTAGGAAAAACGGAGACCTCGCTGTCGAAATCGTCGAAACCCTAATCATGGGAAGGAACAGACATAAGGTGCGTGTTCTCTATCTGACAAGAGGTTTTGTGTTTATCTCTTTTGGCTTAGTTTATGTTTTCTAAATATGGTTTCTTTGACTTCTGGATGCAGTTTAAGAGCTTGAAAGAGAGAATCAATAACATTGAAGTCAATGTATTTAGGAGTTTGGATACGGTGAAGTCTGAGCCTTCAAAAGGTTCCACATTTTTTAAGGATTGCCTCGTAGAATGGAGGGTATGTTTGATTTTGTTGCCTTAAGAGTTTTCTTTTTCTAAAGTTTCAATTTTTGTGTTCTTGTGGTCTTGTACTGTTGTATCCTACTTACTACTATGCTGGTTTTAAGTTAAGATTCTTAAGATAATCAGTTATGGTCTTTAGTTTTAACTTTGATTCGTTATCTGCTATAAGTTATATGGTTGTATCATGAAATATGAATGGCAAATTAAGGTACAGAGAGATTGTGAACTGGCTAATTTCCCTCTTCCGTATGGAAATACTCTGTTTTCTCTTTAGTTGGTTCTATAAGCTTTAAGGCTGACCAGAGAAGCATTATCTTTAGTGGGAGTTTTCTGCATTTCTTTTTTCAATGAGATTAATTTTGAGTCATTTGGTTGGTTAAATGCAGGAACTAAATACAGCAGCAGACTTTATTTTGTTTTATGAAGAGATGTTGCCGTCTGTTCAGAATCTGGAGTTGATTCTCTTGCAAAAGGAATTTATCTTCTCAAAACTTGTCTCTGGATTACATATGAAAGCAAGATTTTCTCTGGATGCCTTTCTCAGGTTTGCAATTTCCCATTCATTCTTGAATCGCGGAACCATCTGATAGACTGACAGTTGATTAGTGTTATGGTTCTATTTATTTTTCCTTAAGGACATAATTTGTTTCATGCTTATCTGTATGCCACAGAGTACTCACTTTTAGGCTGTGTAGTAAACTTTCAAGAGTACTTTCTAAACATTTTCCATACAAAACTGTTATTTTTTTTCAGACATGTTTGATAACGATTAATGATTTTAAGATCTAAGAGCTTGGTCACTAAGTTTCTTCACTTATTCCATGTCTGAGAGTGCACTTTTGTTATCTACTTCTGTATAGAAGTATAAATGTATATTTTTTCCTTGCAGTTTGATTGCAGCTTTATCGAGAGATCTCTTGGAGGACTTTATTCCGTGAGTATTTTTCTAACTCAAAATTTCTTTTCAGCTGCACAGTAACAGAATTAGGATTCGAACTCTTAGTCATAGTCGATTCTGCCGCACTCTTCTAATGTTAGAATATTCTAAACATTGTATGTAGCATACTCTGAAAACAGAGGAATGTGATGATATTTTTGTATAGCTTAGTGGATGTAGTCATGTAGCTGATTTAGTTTCCGGCCGCTATGCATAGCTCACAAAATGTTGCAGACAAGTTTTCCCCCTTCCTTCTCTTGCATTTGCATAAACTGATCATATAGCCAGAAGAGTCACT